CTTCAAATCCCCCGAATGAAAGGAAAACCGAGCCTCAGCAATGAGTTGTTTTTCAGCGGGATCGCACCAGCCCAGCCGCTCAGCCGACAACTTACCTTCAAACTAACTTTGGGACAACTGACCGTCTTTACTGATGAAAGTCTTAACAAATCGACCGGCAATATGCAATAACATGTGTCCGTATTCTATCGCAATGGGACTTATTGGTAATTCCACCACCCATTTCCATGTCACAACGAAGCTGGACAAAAGTCCATGCGCTTATCGATACGAAAAAACAGTCACGTAAGTCTCAGTAGATCCGATTTCTGTGCCGATCAGTTTTTTTTATGTTGAGCTCTATTGAGGCCGACATTTCGACTGTTCTCGTCTCGGAGGCCAATAATTTCCACCAGCTACCCCTATTAAATGAACTTGTTTAGTGAAGTGCAATTCCGTGAAAATTGGAGAAACAAAAAGTAGGCTCTGCACAGAAAGATGTGCAATTAGTCACGAGGAAAGTTTGCTTAGTGCCATAAGCCTAACTTACTCCTACCTCACTTGAAACCACCGATAGATTCTTGGGGCACTTAGTACCTGTGCGCGAGTCTCTCCTCTTGGGCTATTAGTCGTGCGCCCCGCCGACGGAGTTCAAATCACCTGGAGGTGATTGACAAAGGACCACGCCCGCCCCACCCAGGTGACCTTAGCATTGCAACTCAAAGACGACATTTTAATAGGACGACCTACCACAAAAAGAAACCCCGAATATCGTGAAGAACAGAGGCGAAAAAGTATTGTGGCTCACGATTTAATGAGCCACTAATTTCAGATCTATTCACGAAGAACTTCATCAAGCTCTAATAGCATCTCTAGGCTATAGACGCCACATCACACACCACTTAATAGATCGACTCATCGAGAATTCGCGCATCGTGAAATTTTAATGCCATGGTCACAGCCTGCCCATATATGACCACCGTAATGCATTCTGCAAATTTCGCTTTAGGCCTTTAGAAGATTCATCGTGCCTCAAAATGGAACAAAAAGAGCGCTATCGCAATATACGGGGGCATTGTGATGGCTAAATCGTGTAAAACTTTTATTTTTGTTAAAAATGCGACCAGCCCTAGGCATGGGAGCGCGACTCCCAGGGCGTGAGCCATTTTCATAGTTACCGAATTCCTTGCCATGCTTAAACCCCCAAAGACCCCCATCGTTGCGATAGCGCAAAAAAAAAGCTGAAAATCTACATGAAAGTAGAAACTTCATGGCCGAAGGACGACCAACTGTTCTTCCTCATAACCATTTTGCATTATTAATTCTCTCGATGCGATGCGAAAACGATCACGAGACCTAGAAAGGAACCGAACATCCCCAGCCCTCGTGTCGTTCTCGTTTTCCCACGGCAGCTTTTTAGACTTCTGCAGGTTTTTCTATGGAAAAACTCAGCTACAACTTGTTGAAAAAACCTCGTTCGCTTGTTTTCACGCTCAACTGCACTGATTTGTTATGATGTTGCTCCCTGAAGGTGGCTGGCTGCCTGAGCCTACTATACACCGCATCCGAGGGAAGATTCTTCCCCAATGACGTATTTATACCTACACATGAAATAATATTCCGCTCCTGCTGAACAGCACGTCAACCTAATTCATCACCTTCAAACGTGCGTTCCGCTGGTCCCAGTTAACCCCACCGTATAAACTCTCACCGCTAAATTAAATGCAAGTCCCAGGAGCTGTCAAAAGGTGAGCCTGGCCTGCTCTGCCACCAAGCACCCAACAGGTACACCACTGGAGCCCACGAAAACCTATGCTTTACCAATAACACTCGTTTTGGTCCGATCGCGTCATTTTCACAGCTTGTCCTAGAAAAAATGCTCTCAGCATACCGAGAAAAGGCAATATTCCCCTCACTACCTACCCACTCCTCTAAACAGAGCAGATTCTATCGAAAACACCGCTTTCCGTAACTAGGATGGTTTTGAAAGTTGCACATCCAGTAGTTCGACCCGTATAACACGAACATCACATCTGTTCGCTGGGAATGAGCTTGCAGCCTGCGCTACGGGCGCCGGCGCAAAACCATTGTGGATGCGCCAGCTCCTGCGCTGCAGGCGCCAGACTTTTTTGCGCCAAACTGATGTGACGTTCGTGTTGTTCGGGTCGAATTATCCCTTGAGGCAACTTCCAAATCCTTAGTCATAGGTTAATTTCGGACAAAACTCGGCTCAGTTTCTGAGAAGCGGGCCAGGGCAATAAACGGTATATAGTACCCCGTTTTTTGCAGACTGGATTGGATCATTCCATACTTGCCATTTCCGAATCGCATACGTCTAGTAAATATCCATATTTCATCCATGCACTTAATCCTTTCGAGGCGAAGCTGTCCGATCTCGTTTAACTACCTTCCCATCACGCCACCTTACCACCTCCGTTACAACCCTGTAATGGCCAGAGCTAAAACAACAATTGAAGACGAATTGGATATGTGCCTGGCACAGGTTTGTCTAAGAAGCTCTAGCAGTCAGTCATCTATCATGCTCATCTGCTGACAAACAGCTCAGATGATCATGCACTGACCTCAAGGCCATACCGACTCGACCCCTAGGGACTGGGTTTAGATTACTCGACATGACCAACGCCGCAACATTGCGCTGTTCAAAGCGGATGATTCATCATAGATGCCCTCAGATAACGCATTAAGCTGCCGGAAACAGTTCGACGAACGCATTTGGCAACGACGACCCTCATACATATGCATTCGGGTTTGCATCGAACACGTCATTTCGACTTCATATTCAACAAACGAATGAAATGCGGCCATTAATCTCCCCGATATATCCCTGTTCTCAAATTATGCACACCAGTCACAGAAGCCCTTCAAATTTCACCACAGCGCCCAAATGTCTCATAACCTAGATCTGTCCTCTACCCATCGACCGATGTCGTCTATTAAAACACTTAAATTCAACCCCGTGATCGCCTAAATACCACCCTTTCGCAACCATTAGCGGATTTAGTCAGCGCAGGTGGTTGCTGTCAACGGAAATCGCCACTACGGTCGTGACATCGTCCGCGGCGCCGCGTCGAGTTTCTCTACACAGAACAACATCCACCTGTGCTTAATCGTGGGGAATGGGTTAGGGAGAGCATTTCTTCAGCCGGCTACCATATGCCAGCTCTACCCACTGAACACACCAATTATGCATCACCGTCTGCCTGGAAGCACGGCGTGAGGATCTGAGATTGGTTTCTAGCTCGCTATGACTTTCTGACGATCTAGAATGTGGTTTGCTAGGACAAAAAGCGACTTCACCGCTTTTCGCAGCGCGACTTTTTTCGCTGCGGGAACCATAGGTCCACGCCTGGTCAGTGGTGAACCTGGGGTTCCCGCAGCGAAAAAAAAACTTTCGCGCTGCGAAAAGCGGAAAACCGCTTTCTGTCCTAGCGAACCACACAGCACAGCCTAATCTACTCCGTAACCGAACGAACGATCGTTTCGGGACGATGAACGGAAGATGGAACACCTATTTGTCGGTCAGTTCGCCTGGAAAACACCACCCAAAGAGATGGCGTCCAATCCACTTTAATAAATGAAATAAGATTCTCCAATGCTTGTGTGAACGTGCCCGTCCAAGTGGCCCGTGAGTGAATAAGACAGATGAGATATTTACAAGGTTGGCTCTATATCGCCTCCGGCAATGATGACCATTGCCCAACCTCGACTAAGGATCGCTATGGCATATCCTCATCGTATAAACACGCGCGACCGTTCGATTCCTGAATTTTGGCACGAACGGCTAGTTGTCGACGCAATCCGGAAACCGTCCCCTGGGCTTTGACATCGTACGAAAGCGTGGGGAAAAAAATTCAAGGAGAAGGATTTTTCAACTTAGCGCAAGCTCCCATCACGTTTGGGAACATAATCTTTGAAAATTCAATCAAAGAAATTCAGAACTTATTCCAAGCCAATCTAGACCAAAATCAACTACTGTACGAAGCTCAAAAGCACACATCCATATAAAAAAACTCAGCGTGATGTACGAAAAAAAAACTAGAAATCGATAGTCATGCCAGTACTAGATTTCCAAGAAAATTTAGAGCCAATACTACAAGCGTCCAGCAATTTTCACAAACCACAAAGTCTAATTGTGCTTTCAAAATCCAGAGCGGGCACGCTAATTGCTTCACGCACTGTCTTACCAGAAGTCCTTGATGGGCCATTAATGAGAAGTCCGAAGTCCGAAGCGAAATTATCGTCAAAAATGATAAGCATGAACCCTAGCCATTTCCCGTTTTCCGATGAACTGAATTGCCATTATTTCCGCAATCAACTCTACTAGTTTAACCCTATCTAAGCACTTATCGATTGTCGCATAGATGAGCTTTTACAAGTCTGGCGAAAAAATGACCATGTACGGCACCGGGGACCATGGGGCCAGTCTTCTTCATGGAAAATACATTCATCGGAGAAAACTGACAGCATTTGCGACTTCTGCAAAGACAGTGTAATCGTAGAGAAAAGTGATTTTTCAGAATAGGGTGCGAGCAGTCGCGTTACGCCCTCCATGAGTAAAAGATCCTAACCTCTATGGGAATATATTCCTGGCTTCATACCAAATCTATTATGACACTAAGTGCAGGTTGTTTGGATGGCCCTCAGAGAATTCACAAGGGGCAAGTGGCTAGACTAAATTTATCTGCCAGCACCATTCAACCGTTTCCCTTCAAACTCTCATAGAGATTTCTAAACAACGGCCTTTCTGGATTACTACTGAGAGAATTTGAAAATTTAAATTCTTAATCAAAATTGTGGCCCCCTCAAAATATGAAATCAAATGCAGCCTCTCCCAATTGTTTGTCTTCATTGAATTCTGGATTTTCCATTCTCCTCCAGTTTTCATTGCAAGATATCCGATGTCATTCAGCTCGAAGATGTTTGTTCATCTTAGATTATACACCCAATAGTCCGTGTAATCGCTGCTCTACCCCCCTTCGGTCACGCCCCTTGGCACCGAGATGCCACGCCTTCTCTCATCCAGCCGCCATTTCAGCTACCGCCCGGACTGCAGCAGCAGCATGGGACCAATACTACTGTTATTACTGCTATTATTGACCGTCAGGGTTCACGGAGTCACTGAATGCCCACGTGAATGCGAATGTGACGCAATACCGCCGAATAACTCTTCATGGGCAGTTTATTGTCATCGCGGTGGCCTCAACGATTCTCTCTTCGCAGATATTCTCAATCGACTTCCACCTACCTTGAAATTACTGGATATTCACGCCCCGAGTTGGCGTCCTTCTAATAAATTCAAATGGAGCGACAATCTGAATCGATTCAGTCAATTGAAACATCTTCGCCTAGTGAACTGCGGTATTCCGGCGATGAGTAGGAGCACCAGACTTCCTTCTCTTGAGTTACTCGATCTTCATGGGAACAACATTGAACACGCCACTATGGGCAACTTTGGTGGAATGCCTAATTTGCGGTTTCTCGACTTGAGTCACAATCACCTCAGCATTCTTCCAACTGGCGTTTTCACATTTCTACACAACCTCAAGTCCTTGTCACTGGCTAACAACTCAATCACGGAACTGTCTGCCAATCTGCTCCGCGGTCTGCGAACTCTCAAATCATTGCGGCTTGACGGGAACCGCATTCCTATCAAGCAGATCAACGACCTCTTCGTTGATGTGCCTCAGCTTGATGAACTACATCTGAACGACTGTCGACTATCCAGCATCGCCAATCTGTCACTGAACGACGTTCCGCAATTACGTCATCTCGGACTGGCTAATAACAATCTGCGCACGATACCCACTCAAGAGTTACGACAACTGGCACATTTGGCCGTGCTTGACCTCAGCGGAAATGACCTTGACGAGGTTGGAGCATGCGCTTTTTGCTCTAATAACATCTCTCGGCTCGATCTCTCCCATAATCGACTCGGTCTGGTGAAACAGCCATTCCATGCCGATGCCTTTTCGAAATATGCCTCTAGTGGAGCTGGACCTTTCTTTCAATCACATGGATGAATTTCACTCCAGCTCACTTGGCTGGGCTCAAGACAGCCTTCGCACGCTGAACATGGCCGGCAACTCACTTGGAGGTAGGATTTTTGAAGTTCCTTACAAATTTGTGGAATTTGAAGCCGTTCGTCATAATATACTACAGTAGCGGTCAAAAGTTTGGAAACTTTTTTATTTTTGATCTAGCGTAGCCAATAGACAATGAAATTGCCCCGAATTCACATATTATATTCAGAATCTAGTGTAGATTACGATGGGTAACATGATTTTTTGAAAACTGAAAATCGCATTTGAAAAATACGAATTTTATAGAAAATGCGCGTCAAAAGTTTGGAAACTTCCGAATTCTAAAGCGAATTCGGCAAAATAGCTCTCAAATCCACATGATAAATTAGTTATTTGATGAGTAGCTTTGAATTTCTATCTTAGCGTCGTTTTTATTGACATGGTATTGATTATAAAATAATTTTAGGATTTTTAAGTCGGACCTCATACACTGTGAACTAAAGCACATTGTTTGGTGGGATTCTTAACTGGAACGTGGGTAGAGCGACATGCCACTTTTTCCGTGAGATGTAGAACTCAATTAGACTTCAGATCTTGACTTGGTCGCTTCATAGCAGCTCCTTTTTCAGGGTTGGAAGGCGGCAGTGGGGAGGTAGGCCTGCATCGGGTTATTTCCGTAATAGAAAACCCATCTTTTCCGGCTAGTTCTGACTATCTAAGGTGAGCATTGTATTCTACAGACTATACTTGTACTTAGCCCAACCCACATTTCGCTGGATACCTAGAACTGTGGAATCGCCGAATGGTCGGACACATGTTCATCCATGACAGTACTTCCACTATTTCTGACTGTTGGAATCTCATACTCAAAATGAGGTTCCCATTTGACAAAACACTTCACAGGGTCCACTATATTATTTCTAGGAAGATAGAAATCTCATTCGTCGCTGAGGACAAGTTTTCACCTCTTGGCTCCGGTTCATGTTAGCCGTTAGAGTGCGGAAGCCAGTTGGGCCATCCTGCTCTTGAAGCCCAACAATGGCTTCTTGCTGGGATACCATCCGTAATATTCATCAGGTCGCGGCCGATGTTGTGCTACACTTGGACTTCAATATGATTAGAGGAAAACTGGAAAAAGTTGTCTCTCACTTGGGAATGTCGGGGGCACGGGACGTGCCAACCACCCTCCGAAGTATTTGAGGAGGGCCAATTTTCTTGTGAGGATACTTTTTTGTGAATGATCATTCTTCTTATGCTTGCTCGACTCCAACAAAGCCAGAAACATTCGATGCTATTACTTCCTTAGAGATTGAACTACTAAGAAACCATTTCAATTTCGTATTCCGGATTGTAGGGTTCAAAAAGGACTTCCCATGGAAAAACTGCTTCCTTTGCATATGAATTCATTTTGAAATTACACATTGCTCAATGTTTAACTAAAATTAACAAAAACAAGTGAACATTGAAGAGTAGGAATCATACTGATAAGGGAAACAAAAAGTTTCCAAACTTTTGACGCGCCATTACTTGAAAAAAATCTTATTTCTCAAATATGATAGGTTTTTGGAAATTGTTCTTCCCGTCGTATTCTGAACTCGATTTTGTATGGAATATCTAAATTTGGGACAATTTCGTTGTGTATCGGCCGCGCTAGATCAAAAATAAAAAAGTTTCCAAACTTTTGACCGCTACTGTATATAATTAAATAAATCCGCTATTAATATGACGCAAAATCACAGAACAAAGCTGGCGCACAAATATCGAATCTATTCAAAAAAAAGCATTTGTGCAGCCGCTGCTTCATTTTATATTTTTGTTGACGAAAAAAGCGAAAGTAATCATTTCGCTGAAATCCACTTTAAATCCTTCATTTCAGGCTTCCATCCGGATATCACTGCCACGTTACCTTCTCTGCATAGCCTCAACATGGCCTACAATAATATTGAAAGTATTCCACTGGTATTACCGCCTCAATTTTATCACCTGATATTTCTGAACATTTCGGGAAATTCACTCAGCTATCTACCCGACAATCTCTCCTACCTTCTACCCAATTTGAAGGTGAGTCCTCCTATCAAAACTTTTTCCGGCGCTATCGCAAGATACGGGGGCACTCTGGTAGTGATGGATACGAAATGCGTAAAAAATGTTCTTTTCATTGAAAACGGGACAACCCTAGGCAGAGGAGGAGAGGCTCCAAGGTGTGTGGAGCATTTTCATTTTCCTCGGAGTTCCTGCCATCCATTGGGCTCAACCCTGAGGATGCCCCCGTATATTGCGATAGCGCCCCTTTTCCTTTACTCGTGAACGCTAAGGAACTTCCATTATTTTACGTCACTGCTTGTAATGAACATATTGAATGCCCCACTGCTTTCGAAGACCTTGCTCACCATAAAAGAGTACACCAGCGTCATTTCACTGTGAATGCCCTCTCATATTTGCATAGACGAGCGATTGCTTCCCATACGATGAAATGCAAATGAAATTGAAAGCATCTAGCGTGAAAAGTACCCTCCATTTTGAACACTAACTCTCGGAACGCAAATCTTTCCATTACTGATGATTTCAGTACGATCTAGTGGAACCCAAGCTCGTCAAATGGGCCTCTCAACTAGTTAAATGGCGCCTTTTTTGCATACTTCACTTTTATAGTAGCCTTTTTTAAATGCCAGCCGAATAAGCCATAAATCTCTGTTGGGGCAAATCAAGCCGATTGTCAGTTTTTGCGGATAATATGGGCCAGACTAGGTCGTCACTCCAAGCTAATCATTACGACGTCCAGAATTGTCACACCGAATATCAATTCTGCATTTTTTTCATCAACTCGCTCCAGAGTGACCTTGAGTGCTGCGCGAATCCTCAGAGAATAAGTTTTTGAGATTTAGGAGCTCGACTTGTCAAACAACGATTTCTCGACGCTCTCACTAGCCGCCAGTAACTACATCGATCAACTGGAACGAGTGCATCTTGGAGGCAATCCATGGGACTGTTCTTGCTCCATTCAACACATTCAACAACATATGCGCGATCGTTATGCGATGAGACACATTCTACGATATCATGACGCTCGATGTGCCGAGCCACCTCTTGTCAAGGGACAGCCACTTCTCAGCGTCACCGATGTAAGTATGTGAATGTTTGTGAAGAGGACTGCGATGAACCGGAACCAGATGTGGTCATCGAAACCGAACTAGTTACGCGCTAGATGGATTCACAACCTATAACTTTGTTAGTGTTGGCAATGCTCACGAAATTTTGGGTTGAGGGAGATTTTTTGAAGCACCCCACAGCCCAATTTTGAAATAATATTTTCTAAAGATCCGCAGCGTAACTATCGCTGGACATCGATCAATAGAGGAGCATTTGACGTTGAGGGTCTCCAAGTCAACAAAAAGTAAAAAACAGTTTTTCAAATTGGACCATGGGATGTTCCAAAAGTTTCAACCCAACCCAACACAAGCGGGTACCCGACAGGAAGTCGACGAAGAAGACGTCGCGCGGCGAGAAGGCAGAGACGCAGAAGGGTCAGTGGACGAGTCACAGCGCGTACTCTGTTGGGTACCTTACTACGTACGGTACGCAGCGCTGGCTACAGTACTTATATTTACTTGACGCGGCATGATACAGTACGCGCCGCGGCCGACTAAATATAAGTACTGTAGTAAGCGCTGCGTACCGTACGTAGTAAGATACCCAACACAGTACGCGATGCGACTCGTCCACAAATTCTTCTGCGTCTCTGCCTTCTCGCCACCTGAGGGGCCCTGTCGCCTACCAAACGTAAGCCATGTTCTTGGTGTCATATGCCATAACAGAAAATATAATTTTCAGATCAACGAGTGTGCGGT